AGAGCCTCAAGCTGTCACCCTGGGTAGAGTGCTGTGGCATCACAGCTCACAGCAACCTCCAACTCCTGGGCTCAAGTGATTCTCCTGCCTCTGCCTTCCAAGTAGCTGGGACTACAGGTGCCCACCACAATGCCCGGCTATTTTTTGGTTGCAGCTGTCGTTGTTTGGCAGGTGGGGCTGGATTCAAACCCCCTACCTCGGGTGTATGTGGCTGGTGCCTTAGCCAGTTGAGCCACAGGCACCAAGCCCAGAATAACATTTTTGAAGTGAATAAAGTAAAATGCATGGGGTTATAATAAAAACAATTTTTTTTGAAATACGGTTATTAAAATATTTTAAAAGCAAATTTGTGATGTGACATGCCTTTTATCATGTATCACATTAAATATCTGGCAGCAAGTGTAATTACCATATTAGAAAAATGCTGAATGGTATATACATTATTCTGAGAATCTCAACAGCTAATGTGAATTGAAAATATATGTGATTTCTATGGGTGATAAAGTTATAAGTATTGCTAAACCTACCATTGTTTATTTGCCTGCATTCATAATTGAAGAAAAAATATCAGTTACTGAAATTAAATTTAATTTTTTCCAATCCCCATTATAGACCTAGTGAATTCTATTCATAGATCCCTTGGATCTTTCAATCCCATGTTAGGAACCCCTGACTTAGAGGAGATAGGTAGGTAGGTAGGTAGGTAGATATTTAAAGAGCACCTCTGGGTGGAATCCAGTCATTTCAAGGATCTTTGTAGAGACCCTCCTTTTCCTCATCTCTTTTCCTCCAGTGATGGGCAACTTTAAGTTTGGTGTATTCCTCCAGAAATTTCAATATATGTGTCTCTTTTCTTCTTCTTCTTTTTTTAAATTTTCTATTTGGAAATAGAAGCTCCAGCATTACAGATAAGTTCACATGAGCTGTACAGAAATGTCCCATATATTCTGTACCGAAATTCACCAGTTTTTACTATATTTGCATTATCATTTCTTCTTTCTTCCCCCCTCCTCCCTCTACATTATGTATGTGTATTTCTAAAACTGCACGTACATAAAATTAGCAAATTGAAATTTAACCTTGAATACTGTTAGGTAATCTAGTCTAGTCTATATTCAAGTTTCATTAATTATTCTGGTAATATTCTCTATAACATTGTTTTCCATCTAGTCTAGAATCCAGTCCAGGAACAGTTCCTTGGCCTTTCTTTTCCTTTCATGACACTGACATTTTTGAAGAATACCAGGAAATTATTTACAAAATATTGCTCCGTTTGATGGGTAGAAATAACTGATGTATGTTCTTTAAAAAGTAATCACATCCAGAGACATACAGTGTCTGTCAGACCATCATTGCCAATTTTAATTTTTATCACTCAGTCAAGATGTGTCTGGTTCCTCCACTGGTTACTTACTATTGCTCTTCTCACAACTAATAAGCAGTTTCTGGCAAGACACTTTTAGACCAGGCAGTTAATATCCTGCTCCTCCTCAGGCTTTCCTTCCCTTAGAATTACAAACCACTGATGATTCTTGCCGTCTGTGCTGTGTTGTCTGTAGAATGGTGGTGTTTCTAACTACAGTTATCAGTTGGCATTCTACTGTAAGGAAGAGTCCTTCCTTCTCCCCTACCTGGGTATCTAACTGTTCATCAGGAAGGACTGCGGTTCCTATTCTATATAGTGGGTTATGATTTGTTATTGGTGTTTTTTATTGTTCACATTGCCTCAGATTTAGCCACCAAGAGTCCCTTCAAGTTGGCTCCTGTGTCCCTTTGTCATATGAGCATATCTCAGTCTTTTTTTGACTACTTCCTTACTTTCTGTACTGAGATATTTCAGGCCCATCTTTTGTGTTCTCTGCTTCAGTTCTGGAATTAACTTTCTCTAAAGACTTAGCTTTTTTGAATGTGGAATGCTAGAGAGAAACCAAAGTCTGGCACTAGGCATGTTCATTGTTACTAAGGTGACATTTGTTTCTGGGGCTTTTAGTGGATAGACTGGTTGTGTACCTCATCCTTGTTGATATATTATTACTTGATTCATTGACTATCAACTAGACAGAAAAGTGATACTCAGAAGTGTCATTCATTTGTTTCATGTCCTTCTATTCCCTGTCTTTGCCATACTTCATGTAAATGTCAATCATCAGTTTCTGGTTTACTCCCCTCCCCCACCCTTTTAAACAAAGTTTATAAAGTAAGCAGATTGTTTATTTGTTTTTTTTTTTCTGAGACAGAGTCTCAGCATATTGCCCTTGATAGAGAGCTGTGGCGTCACA